GAAGAAGAAAGAGGGGGGGGGGGTAGCCCGAAGGCCACACTGAGGTAAACCGGCAACTTCCCCCTCAGTTGTAAAATAAAGGGTTTTTAAAAAGTTTTTTAAAGAACAAAGAAACACTGCTGAGGCACGTGATATTTCATCCAAGGGGAACTTCACAGTAAATTAATAAACTTTCCATTCTCCAGCAGACCCGGGTGTGGCAGTCACAACTCAATGGGATGTACAAAAACAGTAAACCCCTTTAATTGTTCTGTCAGAGCCTGTTGAAGACCTCTCTGCTCCGTTCAGCAGAATGGGAGAACAGAACCTGCTTTGGCATTTAGGACTGCACTTGCATTTGGTTCTGTGGTGCTGAGCTTCAGTTAGGGTAGCACTCATCAAAGAGCTGATCTTTTTCTGCACTTCTCCCTTGACCTAAGCCAGGAGGTTTGCTTGTGCATTTTCACCCAAGAGATCAGGCCCTGGCAGGTCTGCTGGCCTTACTTGGCTAAAGGGAGGGCAGACTGGCTCTCTGGAAGGAGAGGGAGAGAATTGGAGAGAAGGCTTGCCCTCCTGCTGCTGCATGTGCTGCCATCTTGCTGCTCTCCTTTTTCACCTTGCCGCCCCGCCCCGCCCCCCGCAAGACCAGGGGAGAGAATCAAGATGCCTCAAAGCTCTGCTCTGCCAGGCTCAGGTTGGGCAGTAGGAGTGTCCCTCTGATCCCGAGGAACAGGCATGTTGGTTGCAGCTGCTGACACTCCTCCACTGCCTTGGAGGGAGTGACCGTGGACGCTCCTGGCCAAAGCATGGGAGGCCCTGCAGCATTCCTCCCCTCCAGGGAGAAAGAGCCGTGGGATGAAGGACAGGTATGCCATTATGCCAGAAATGCACCTCCCAACCCTCCTACAGCAACAGAAGATGAAGCCCCTTAAAATAGGCAGAGGAGACAAGTAAACACAAAAACCGTGGAGAAAAAAGCTGCTGCACTCTTTAATGAGAGCACAGTGAGACAACCAGCTGTCTGCAAGTTAGATAAAACCAAAATGGGATTGTGGGAAAAGCACCTCCTCCTAGGAGTCAATAAAATATTGATGACACTGCCTGCCTCCAGGGAGGAGTTTTTACCTATGAGTTCTGACTGCCCCACCCTGGACCCCTGGAGAATGGGTAAGTGGTTTGGCAGCTGGGTCCCTGCTGCTTCTCTCTAGGGATCAGCAAGCCTGCTCTTCCCCTTTCCGATGACAGCTGATACCATCTCATGAACTAGGCAAGCAACTCAGCATTGACTGGTTCTCTCCTTGCATGAAACAATGGCTACAGAAGTGCCACTGCCTGTTCTTGGGGAGGGCTGGTTTCAGCTAATAAATGAGGCAGATCAATGGAAGTTTCTATGCGCAGTGACTAAAAGTAACTAGATTGGATGCTCCAGTCACTATGGAATGTGTAGCCGGTAGACTGTGTCTTCCCTTCTGATCCTCCTTTCAGGGTGTGAGCAGCAGAAAGTAGGAAACTTAGTTTCTTGGGACCAGGATTTAGTAAATGGCCTTTCCCCAAAGGAGATACTTTCTTCCCTTCAACAGGAAAGGAGAAAATAGACAGTACATCAGAAAAACAACCATGTTTCCTTTTTGAATCCTAGCACTGTCTAAGAAGCTGAAAGGAAGGGATGTCACTTCAGTCTGAGGAGACAACTTCCTTGGAGAAATGCTGCCCACCACCTCTTCACTTTCGAGATGTGGCCGCAGCAGTTTCATTGTTTTGGGTTGAGGTCGGAAAATGTTGAGAACAGAGGGAAAAGTCTCAGCAGCCCTTGTTTAGCTGGTGAACTGAACCGCTGTAGACCAGTCGCTAATATTCCCTTTTGGGGCAGCGCTTGATGGATCCAAGTAGCTTTTTCACTCTGTCTTGTGCATTCCTTCCTTGGTTTAGCCCCTATTTCACATGGCTTTTGTTTTGTTCATGCAGATCCCATGATAACACACCTAGCTTTTTTGCGTGGTGAAAAGGGAGCCTTCCTTCCTTTCTTTTTCAGCAGCAGAAAATCTGGTTGGATCCAACCCATTAAAATCCAGACAGTTACAACAGAATGTCCCATAATACCTGTGGAAAAGGACATAGCCCAAGTAGCCCACCAGATAAGCTTAAAGGACCCCAACAGAAGGAAGCTTGGAGAAGAGCAGATATGTCACACAGCTTTCATGGACAGACCGCTCCTCACATAGGCAGGTCTCAGGATGTGTAGGGCTTTAAAGGCTACAATCAGTACCTTGAATTGGACCCAGAACCAGTGAAGTTTTTTAGCAGTCAAGTGAGGCTGTGCACATTCTGACTATATGAGTAAAAGGCTGGATGAGGATCAATAAACGGAAACTAAAAATTGAGCCTATTGGGAACTCTGCCAATTGGAAGAGTTGTGATTCAGCCGGTTCTGGATGGGGCTGCACTTCAGAGCCTGGGGGTGGTACCACTTGCGCTGAATAGACTTTCTCCCTCAGCATCTTTGGCCTTTCAAGTGTGAAGGCTGGAACTTATAAACACTTTCAAATATGGACCAGCCAATGGACAAATGAGGTCAGGAAAAGATATAGCAGCCGGTCAGCAAACATTTTTATCAGTAGAACTTATAAAGGAACTGTACCAAAGGAGACCAGGAGTACAAATTAGGCCATTTTTAATGTTTTCCTTCCAGTGGCCCAAGGAAGATGTGGGCCCTGCTTCTGGAATGTCCTCAAGCTATCCAAAGTATGGGATGCACACTGCAAACTGAAATAATATGCACGTTTAAGAAATACTGAGTAATAGAATTCTTATGACTTCAATGTACAGCTAAGATACTCTGACTAGTCTTCACTGTAGGTTTGTATTCATGGGATACGAATGTGTTTTCTGCTCTCAGTTTTTTTTTTAAAATAAAAGGGCTTTACTTTGGCTGATTCTTTAATCCTGGTATACTAGTCAAACACCCACCTTCCAGTACAGCAGCAGAACCAAGCCTTGAGGCAAAGCAGGATTATTTTGGAGTCAGGGGCTTCTCAGTGTTGTCTTCGTCCCCCCCTGCAAGCTTGAATGACAGTTTGTTTTTTAAAATCCAAAGAGACAAGGGTCCTACTTAACCAGTCAGTACTGGAAGACAGGCGTATATCAAGTGCCCTTGCTGGTGAATCTGGTTGGTATGACATTTTGTCTTTCCCTTCTGGATTCATAACCAGAAGGACCAACTATGATATTTGGCTTCAGTCCTCAACAGACCAATGGCTGCTGGGGCTGTTCTCCTGAGCTCAGAAGCTCAAAGCCCAGCTCTTCTGGTAAAGACAATTCAAGATTGGTTTTCCTTGAAAAGAACCAGGAAAGATTTCCTTCCATTTTGGTGGTTCTCCATTTTATCATGAGATTTCAGTCCTGCTTTAATGGTAACAATACTAGGTTCTGTCTATTGCACTGAAGTGGTATACAAATGTAATCAGATTTACCCAAGGCCACATATGTCAGGGGCTTTTTGATTAGCAGTGAGAACTATTTACCAGCAACCTAACAGCCAGGTGAAGAGAGAATGAGGACACCTGGTGCAGTTCATGACTTTAATGTTTAACTACAGTATGCATACATACAAGAAGTGGGAGAACTAAAGCCCAAGAGAACTAGAAAGGCTACAAAATACAACACATGGACCAATACATTTACAAAACATTCAAAATCCTTACAAAATGGGCTGTATTGGTCCTTTTTGTTCTTTTTACAAACTCAAACTTTGTGGCCAAAGGAGAGTAGTTAATAGATTCTCATACCCTCCCTATCCCAAAATTTACAAGTGTCAAGAAAATCTACAGGCCTTGTCTGGTTCTCCTGCTAAAATAATCAGCCCTCTCAACAAGGGCCTGAAGTGTATCTGCCAGCTGAAAGAAGGAGTCCTCCAACTTCCACGCATCTTGCTTGTCAGCATGTGATACAGGGTAAGTACCCCCCGCTGGACCCTAGACTCCCCCCCCCATATGTCATAGAATCCTGTGCTCCCAACACATCCACATTTTTTTCCTTTAACAACTTTGTGATTTTTAGGTCCCCCATCCACAAGAAAAAATAAGTTACATAATATTTAAACTGGCTTTTCCATATTCTTTGGGAGTCTGGGAACGTCGGGACAAGCAGATCTGCCCTTGAGAAAAGCTCGACAGCGGCCACCACTTCCTTATAAGCTGGCCAGGTGATAGGGGTGGTGCCTCTCTTGAAACAAAACTTGCACAAACCCAAAGTCCAGACAAATATTTCTGTTCTGTGTATTTACAATAGTTCGAAATTATATTCACAGCATATTCTGCATTTTGGCCAAAAGTCGAAAACTTGTTTTAAACTTTGGAACATGCCCACACAGGAGGAGACTTCTCACACACGGATCTGTGATGTAAGCCCAACATGGAGGGGGAGGTGGGGGCGCAGCCTCCAAGCTCTGGGAAGACCCACACACATTCTTCTGCCAGCTTCATGGGATGGAGACCTCCAGGGTGGCCAACTTCTGACTCAGCGTCCACTTCCTCTTAACTAGCACCGGTCCCTTCCATCACTTGCTGTGCCTGCTTTTGCCCCATGCAGCACTGTGCCACGGACTGGAACAGCCTACGACAAGGACGGAGACTTCATTTCAAGACAACTCATCCTCCCCCAAAAGCAACATACTGAGCCCCCCCCCCCAACGCACCCCATACACTAAAAAATAAAAAATGTTTTTGATTACTCACTTTTCAATTTCTGGAGCACAATGAACAAACTCATGGTTCCAGAATTTAAATGCTGGGTTTTTAATCAGCTCAATAAAGGTAATTAGCAGACCCCATGGGTGAGGCCTATTTACAATCAGTCGCTCTAGGAGAACTCTATAAAACAAACACACAAGAGGAAAAAGAGATGAAGTGTGGGGAACTGCTTAGGGTGAGACCAAAGGCACAAGGCAGCGGGACCTGCTTCTAGAAACCCCTCAATAAAACAAAGAGCGGCATCCCTGTAGCAGACAGGGTTACATGAATGCTGCTAATGGGGAGAAAAATAACACTTCCACCTTGCTCTTGCACATTCCTTGGCAGCCCAGGACAAATCCACATCCAGAACTTCCCAGACTATGGTCCTATTTGGCTACCGTGTGCCATATTCCTGGACTATCATTTCAGCCTGCCAGGAAGGGCCGACATTCCTCAATGCTCCTCTATACAAACCTCCTTCTCACATACAAATATCCCTGTGTGCAAGGGGGAGAGAGAGATCCAGAGCCACACCTATGGTCTTGAATAGGAACTGTACAACCCAAGCAGGCAGCTGTGTTGATCTAAAGCAGGAGAACAAACTTTGAGTCCAGTGGGGCACCTTTAAGACCATCAAAGGTTTATTCAAGGTATGAGCTTTCGTGTGCACACACACTTCCTCAGATACATTGAAATGAAAGTTCATATATATATAGGCAGTTCATATATATAGGCAGATGCCTCTATGTAGGTGAACAGCAAAATAGCATACAACTTAATAGGAATGTTTTGACATATGCAACAACTAAGCAGCAATAACAAGCTAAGTTCATTTAGGGGGGAAACAGTGAAGTGATAAATATGTCAAAGCAGGAGCTAGATGTGGTAAAGTATCCTTCTTAATTGTTAAGGGTAATAAACTATGACTGTTGTTACGCAACATTTGTCTCCTCTCAAGCATGGAGTTAACAACATCCTTTTCTTAGAGGTGGGGTGCAGTGTTAGAGAAATACATTCCAATATTCATTGCAGTATATTCACTATTCCAATAATACTATTTAAAAAAAAATAACACTAAAATACAGAGAATGTATAGCCCTTCTTGGTGAGAATCCATATGTAAGGACTGAATGAGTCTAGCACATGAAATGAGATGAGAAACCAATATCCCTGTTAAGTCCTGGGGAAGTTTTTGTTCCAAGTGTTATAATCTATAATATATAAAAACCAAACCGTGTTGGTGACACCAATCTCATTAATCCTGTGTTTCAGTGTATTTCTTTTTTGGAATAGTATATTGGAATAGTGAACGTAATGCAATGAATATTGGAATGTTGTTAGTTAATTCCATGCTTGAGGGGAGACAAATGGAGTGTAACAACAGTTTATTACCCTTAACAATTAAGAAGGATACTTTTACACATCTGTCTCCTGAACTGACATATTTTTGCTTCACTGTTCCCCCCCCCCAATTAAACCCAAACAAATGGTGACCATATGAACTTAGCTTGTTATTGCTGTTGAGTTGCTGCATATATCAAAACATTTTCATTAAGAGCCAGTTTGGTGTAGTGGTTAAGTGTGTGGACTCTAATCTCGGAAAACTGGGTTTGATTCCCCACTCCTCCACTTGCAGCTGCTGGATGACCTTGGGAAAGCCATAGTTCTGTCAGAGCTGTCCTTGAAAGCGCAGTTCTCTCAGAGCTCTCTCAGCCCCACCTAGCTCACAGGGTGCCTGTTGTGGGGAGGGGAGGAGGGTTGTAAACCACTCTGAGTGAAGGGCGGGGTATAAATCCAATCTCTTCTTCTTCTATGCCAATTTGCCTATGTAGAGGCATCTGCATATATATCTATATCTGTATATCCATATGAACTGTTAACTTCTATTTCAACGTGTGTGCTGAGGAAACTGAGGAAGTGTGCGTGCACATGAATAAACCTGTGTTGGTCTTAAAGGTGCCAGTGGACTCAAAGTTTGTTGTACTGATGTAGCAGTTTTGGGGTCCAGATCTACAGCCAGATTCTGGAAGTCAGCAAGAAGAAGAAGAAGGTCAAGAGATTTAGGCTCCTCTTACCTGGTGATCTGTTCTTGAATAGCTTCAGTGTTGGCTTCCGCAAATAAGTAAAGCATGGTACAGCTGAAATAGTGTGTATGACTGTTGGGGTACCGTAACTGATTGGCAATTGCATTCAAGAAGAGGTACCGACCTACAAAAAATAGATTCCGTTCAATACAACTGGTCCTACTTCCATCTCTATTTGACTACATTTAATAAAAAAGAAGCAACAGACTGCTTACTGTCTACATTAAATTCAAGATGGGTTGGGTGAATCACTGATCTAATATTTCCCCAACTAATCTCTTGGAAGTAGTTAACTGATTGATCTAACCATTAAAACATGCTGATCCATACCTTGCTCACAGGAGCTATAGGATCAAACCCAATGAAATCTCTTTAATTTTGACTGGACTTTAGTATTTAAGAAAATTATATATACAGCATAAGAATGCACAGATTATGCCGTTGGGATACCCAATGCCCGACATTATTTGCCAGTCCCTGAGCCCCAAAATAGCAAATGTATTCGGGTTTAATTTAGCATATTTATATTCCCACAAGAGGTTCCCCAATGCAGCCGAAGCACAGGGGTGGACAGAACTAGGGGAAGGAGAAGAGAAGGCAACACGGGACAGAAGTGAGCCCGGCAGACAGAAGCCTTTAAAGGGCAAGAATAAAGGAGGGGGAAAGACCCGGTAGGCTGCAGAAGATGAGACTCGTGCAGAACAGACAACCGTGGGGAGATGCAGGTGGCTGGGCAAAAGGCAGACCGAGAGAGTCTAGCAGAAAGTGAAGGGAATGTCATGACAGGATATAGTAAGGACTGACACCTCCTGATGCAGCAGTTTTGGGGTCCAGCACTGAAAGGTGAAGGCCATTTTTACCTTCTGTGTCCAGATCTACAGCCAGATTCTGGAAGATGTCCATATGAGCTGAGTGGGTGATGGTGCTCATGGAGGGAGTGCTTCCTTTGTTGTGAATGTGCGCAATGGCCTGGGTGCCCACATACAGCACCAGGGCATTTATTAACTGGATATTGTAACGATTGCCAGGCTCGTTTGACACCTAGAGGAGCAAATACAAGAGAGGTCACATCGGCTGAACGCTGAAGACTCTTGTGGGCGGCAGGATTTGTGCAAGGCCTTGCACATCTTGAGCTGCTGTAACAGGAACCAGGACGTGCCTTCTCACTGCTGTCCAGCCACCACATTTTACTGGAGCGGTCATTTCAATTCACCCTGGAATTACTCATGAATGATGTGTGTTCTCAGCCAGCAGGAGAACAGGGAGGAAAGGATTGACTCCCCTGAATGGCAAAGATCCCCTTCTTGGGCTCTAAGGCATACCAACCAGGCAGCACATTTCCTTTCACTGCCCCACAACCTTTCAGTCCAGGGGAAAAATCAGGGATTTGGAGTTTGCCCTGCTCTAACCCCTTACCCCAGCACAGCTAGCCAGGACTAGGAATCGTTTTAGCACACATCTGTCTTGCCACCAGCACGGAACTGCCTCCTGACAAACTGCACTGATTCAGAGCCTTCCCCCCCCCCCCTTCCTCAGTCAAGGAACAGAGGCGATCTTTCCATGCCCTTGGCCTGGGAAAGAGGAAGGTGCTGCCACCAACAGAAGGCTCTCCCATTCAGCCTCTCATCAGCACCCACGGGTTTTATAAAGGTAATAAAAACACCTGATGCACCTCTCAGTATAAGAGCTGCCATCACTCTATACCATGATGAACAGATGAACTTGTCATTTGTGGCTAGGGGCAAAAGGGGAGTACTTTGCCATGATGTGACACTCCTTTACAAAGCAAACCTCCACCATCCACAGGAGCCACGAGACTAATTGTATAATTTTTGGCCCATTCTTTCTCACCCAAAGGGAGAGCATGCTGAATGTGTGCCATTCCTTCTGAATTTATGTACAGGAGACCCTGGGATTTTAACAGACTCGGTTTGCTTGTCTTCTGCAAGTGGGGCTCTTGAGGGATCAACATCCACCAGATCCACCACGGGCAGATGGGTAACTGAGCGCATGGCCTTTAGCCTAGCCCAAAGTGAAGGGCATTATGGCACAGCCTCCCCTGCCCCTTCCCTTCCGTTTTCGAGAGGCATCACATAATGTGTGCATTTCCCTCATTAGAGGGTTCTACTGGCAGGAGGATTCCTCCAGCAGCTTCTGAGCAGAGCACTGCTCCTGCCTGGGATCCTGATCCCTGCTTCTGGAATCCCTTTCTTGCCTGCTCTTCTACTAGTTAACCAAGGACGTGAAGTCAGGGCTTCAGTCCTGCACAATCCCTTCCTGATTAGCAGGCAGATTCATTCCCAGAATTCTCTGTATACTTTGTCTTGAGGAGGGGGAGCTTATCCCATAACCTTGAAGACAATCTCACAGCATTTACAAGAGGGCAAGCATTTGGTTACCACAAACAAAGCTCAACGCTTGCATAGGATGCTGCCGTTTGGGCCGAGTCAAGCTGTACTGATGGGAGGATGGGCCAGCTCTGAGGTGACGGCTGGACAATCCTTCCTCTCACTTGGATTCCTGTACGTATGTTTAAACAGAGGTCACTTCCAGGTTTGCTTCTATTTCTCCATTCGAGTGACATCGCAGGAACAGTGGTGCATTTTAATGCCCCCCCACCCACCCCCAATCTTGTTCTGGCAAGCTCTGGGAGCTGTGCAGACCTGTTTAAACGGGGCAGAATACCAGGACCCGAATGCGATTGTGGTGCAGCCCGCCAAAGCATTTTCCATCTGTCACAGGAATGTGAGCATCACACTTCCCAGGGAGATATGATGGAGCTCTCTGAACTCTCCCCAGCTGCGATTGAGTGGATTGCAAATTTAGATATTAGTATTTAGGAGGATTGCCCAACTGGTATGCATGCCCACTGTATCAACTTGGCTACATATTCTGTATTATTATATGCTTCCTGTGTGTGACTCTGCCTCACGATAAACAATAAATAAAATACTGGCAGAAGGTGCCTCACCTGCAAATTGCTACGAAGGTCGGACAAGAATGTGACCGGAGAGCGCGTTTTGAGATACGAATCCAAATCCTTCTTGAACTGAGGTGGCATTACTCCTGTGAAGTTGGTGAGGATCCGAGGAGCAATGTTAATCTCACTCAACATGTCCACCTGTCAAACACACACACCTTAAAATACTCCCCACTGGAAAATGCTGGCTACATAATTCTTTGGGCTACCAAGAGCCACACTATCACATCCAAGAAAAACACAACGTCTAGTCTTACCGGCAGTTTCCCTTAAAGCTGTTTCATTTTCTATTGTTTTTATTAACCAGCAGTGAGTATAGCACTGCTCAGTTCCTGCCAACTACCATTTTAAGTTGATCTCTCAAGTTATAGTTATCTGAGGTTTTAAAATCCAAGCAGGAACAGTGGTACAAGGTGCATTCTTTGCAGCCAGTCTCTCAATTGATTCAAAAGATCATTTAGCTGAAAGGATGTGGTGAAACTTGTGCCGAGGTGCATTATTACCTTAAGGTTAGGAGTGAAGGGATCCGGAAGCCTCATATTTCGTGGGAAGGCACTCAAGATCAGATTCCTTAGCTGAATGCAGTTTGGAGGAATCACATCACAGAACCCATAGTGGTAGTCACAGAGGAATTCTGGAAAATCATGTAATAAGACCAGCAGCACACGCAAGGTACCCTACAGGAAAAAAAGGAGTAACATCATTAATTCCCAGTCTCCATCCTTACTTCACCTATACAAAGCAGCAAGCAAGCCAGCCCCTTTCTCCCCTGGCCCATCGTTATACACTATTTACAGCTGATACAGAAGAACAAAGCCCTGCAGCTGAATCTCAACTCAGTTCTTGAACTCACTGGAAAGAATGGGCTTTTCTTTGCCCCTCCACCTCTGACAGGGGGATGAGGCCTGCATACAAACAGGACTGTTATAAGAGGAACCAAGAATGTTGCCGCTGACTTATGGTGATCCCGGATGTGAATTGTCACAGTAAACCTGACAACAGTCCTGTAAGAGAACCTAGTATGACGACCCCCATGGAGGAAGCAGAGAAAGTGAGGGGAAGAGAAACCTGACTTAGGTCATTTCACTTGGGGGCTGAGAAGCAAACAGATCCCAGTATGAATATCCTGGGATAACAGATATTTGGTTTAAGACATTTTCACTTTGGGGCTGAGAAGCTCAGTCTTTTGCCCACTTTTATGAGCCTCTTAGCAGCATTACAACAATTTCTACTGCAACTCTTCCCAATGCACTCGTACCTCTCCATATCGAAGGTACCTGCTCACAATTGTCAGCCTCAAATTTCCATTTAGCCTGGAACTGTGTCAACAGACATCAAACCCTTTTTCAGCTATCCACAATGACCTTTGCTGGATGTGCCGGGAACTACACATATCATATGATAATAGCTGTCCTGGGGGAAAGGAGGGGCTTTATTTGGTGAATTTCCGTTGTTATAGACAGGCGGCCATTCAACTTTGTGTTGAGCGTAAAAAACCCAACAACTTGTCTTGAGATGGGACCTTCCAAATTGACAAAAGCACACAGAACATTACAAATGGCTAATGAATGAACAAACCCACAGCAGAAAAAAGGGGAGAGGGAATCTGGCTTGTCCAACTGCAGGACTCAAAAAGAAAGAAAAAATGAAAGTGTAGCCAGGGGTTACGATCCACATTATGAAATTAGGTACACAGAATGATTTCTGAGCCATGAGGACACAAATTTAATAGGTCATAGAGAATCATAGAGTTGGAAGGGGCCATACAGATCATCTAGTCCAACCCCCTGCCCAATGCAGGACACAATTCAGGTAAGAATCCCCCCCCCAAAATATTGAGCAGTTGTTCAGAAATACACCCCAGGAAGTGAACAAGTCTGTCACTTACTCAAGTGTACTAGCAGGCACTGAAACCCTGAAGAATCCTTTTTCATCCCACCCTTCCTCCAAGAAGCACATGGTTCCTTCCCCCTGTTCAATCCATACAATAACTATGTGGGGTAGATTAGGCTAGGAGAGACTGTCTGGATCAAGGTAATCCACAGAGCTTCATAACAGAGTGATACCTTAAACCCAGGTCTCTCTGATAATAGTTCCAATGATTACACCACACTGACTCTCCAATGCATTCTCAGCAAGGTAGCTCTAACACAGCACCTAGAGCAGTGGTACTTGCTCTATAATTCACAGAGAGCCACATTCACGACTGCTATCAATCAAAAAGAGACGCACGATTACTGTGTGGCCTGTGCACCCCCACACACACAGAAAGTAAGATCTAACTATTAATATTAAACCTAGAACTAGAATTTTAAAAAATTATTGGATTAGTTCTGAGCTTGTAAGGTTCTCTCTCTCTACCACTGCTGCCACCCTTTGTGTCTATGGAGGGAAGGGCTCTCCACTCTGCCTTCATGCTCTCTTCTCATCAAGAGACACAATATGTTGGGTGAGAGGGTTGGATTGCTAAGGTGCCTGGAGGACAGCAAGTTTGCCATGGAGAAATGGAGTAAACCACCACCCCGCCCTGTGGCTAGTCCATTCTTTTTCCCAGTGCCTCTTGTGGCGAAGGTAGTTTTATTCTCTCCTCTCTGTAGCCAGCTTGTTCTCCTCCTTAAAGCTACCTGGGTGCTGAGATAAGAATGCAGCGGCTGCTCAGGGGGAGGGGGGGCTCCCCCTGGCCCTTTACTTCCATCCTTGGCACAAGGCCCACTGCTCAGGAAGGCTTGCAACTATGAAAACTGACCCTCCATGCCATCTGTCCCGTGGCCCGGGCAAAAGCTGGACTGGAAGGAATCGAGAATGGAAGTATCATCCAAAAAGCCCTGTAACTAAACAGCCACTGCCCTCTCTATTACCTTGCCCAAATAGGGCAAGTTGGAAACCGGCCAATAGTTAGCCAATTCAGCCTGATCCAAGGATGGCTTTTTCAAGAGAGGGTGGACCACTGCTTCCTTAAGTGCCCCCGGGAAAAACAGGTTGCTTACCAGTAACTGGTGATCTTCGAGTGGTCATCTGTGCATTCACACCAATGGGATCTAGTGCGCCTGCGCTGGATTGATCGGTGCTGTAGCAAGCTCTATATTAACGGATTTTTGCACCCATTCCCTCAGGCAAGCGCAGGAACCCCACTGCGCATGCCTGAGGGGTGGGCACGGACATCCCACCAGTTCCTTCAAAGTACTGCCGCATATCAACCCCTAATCGAAAGGTAGAAGCTGACAGCAGCGGGGAAGGAGGGCGGGTGGTGTGAATGCACAGATGACCACTCAAAGATCACCAGTTACTGGTAAGCAACCTGTTTATCTTCTTCGTGGTCTCTGTGCTTCACACCAATGGGAGATTAGCGAGCAGTAGCCCACCTGGAGGAGGGTGCTGGCAGGACCATCACTGCGTGGCTGAAGACAAAATTCGACGTCCCATGTTGGTATTAATGTTCTTTCGGACGTCCAGGGCGTAGTGCCTGACGAAAGTGTTAGGCGTGGCCCACGTTGCGGCTTTGCAAATGTCTTGCAGCGGAACTCCCTTGAGAAATGCAGTGGAAGTCGCGACAGCCCTGGTGGAATGAGCCTTGATAGGGCCAGGTAACGGCTGTTTTGCAAGTGGGTAGCATAGCCGAATCAGACCTACGATCCACTTAGACAGGCGTTGGGACGTAATGCGACTGCCTAACCGTGATGAAGCGTACGAGACGAATAGATATGGATCTCGTCTAGTTGGCTGTGTCCTCTGGAGGTAAAACAAGAGACGTCCAGGTTGTGAAGCAGTTGGTCCTCCGCCGATGTGGGGTTCGGGAAATAATTGGGCAGGAAGACCTCAGCTTGCAGGTGAAACTCCGAAACCACTTTGGGTAAGAAAGAGATGTCTGGCACTAAGCAGACTCCATGCCGAAAGGCCAGCAGTTCTCCCACTCACCTGGCCAATGTAATGGCAGTCAAAAAGGCCGTCTTCCATGCCAGAAGTCATAACTCAAACGTTGCAAGTGGCTTGAAAGGCTTTCGTGTCAGTTGGCGTAAAACCAAAGGGAGGTCCCAAGGAGCAACTGGGGATTTAACAGGAGGGTAAATTCGAAGTAAACCTTTCAAAAAACGTTTGGTGAGTGGATGTGTAAACAGTGTGCATCCATCAACTTGAACATGAAACGACTATAATGCAGCTAAGTAAACCCGTAACGAGGAATGGGAGAGTCCCAAGTCAGCTAGTGATAAAATAAATGTAAAAACTTTCTCTAGGCCAGCAGAGATGGCTTGAGAGTTGTCAGTTTCGAGAAAGGAACAGAATTTTCTCCACTTACAGTCGTAAGACTTCCGAGTGGACAATTTCCTTGAATTCAACAGGACGTTGGCTATACGAGTGGAGAAGGTTGTGATGGTATTCGCCACGCTGTTAGTTTTAGCCGCTCTACACTGTGGTGGAGGACTGGCGAGTCGGAGAGACGGAGCAGGTCCGGGGCCGGGGGGAAATGATGATATGTCCCCTGAGACAGTTTGAGTAGCGTTGAGAACCAAGGCTGTCTGGGCCACCAAGGTGTTACAAGGATGACGTCTGAGAAGTAGAGGTAGGGGAGGAAACATGTAAAGTTGTTTTGTGGACCAAGGGTAAAGGAGACCTTCCCCCAGAGATTGCGGGTTGTTGCCTCCCCCACTACAGAATAGGTGACATTTTTTGTTGTCTATGGTGGTGAAGACGTCGACTTGGGGAGTTCCCCACTTCTGGAAGAGTGGGAGGAGGTAAGTATGGTTTATCCCCCACTCGTAAAGGCTGAGTCCAGAACGACTTAGGTGGTCCACCTCCAGGTTTAGACATCCCGGTATGTGAGTCGCCACTAGAAATATGTCGTTGGCCGTGCAGAAGTCCCACAAATCGATCGCCAGGTTGCAGAGGCGTATGGAGACAGTACCGCCCTGTCTGTTTATATATGACAGTGCCGTAGTGTTGTCTGTAAGGATAGTGGCACATTTCCCTTTGATCAAGGGAAGGAAACTGGTTACTGCGTGTTGAATGGCTAGAAGTTCCAGGAAGTTGATGTGATGTCTTCCCGTGTCCGTATCCCATCTGTCTCCTACGGAGAAGCCCATGGAGTGTGCACCCCAGCCCTTCATGGATGCATCGGTCGTTATAGTGATCTCCGGTGATGGAGGGTGGAAAGGCGCTTCTTGAAGGAGATTGGATGGTAGAGTCCACCACTGCACGGATTCTCGGACGTGGGGAGGAGGAGATAGCACTACTGTGTGGACGTTCCTTGACAGGTCGTAATTGCGAAGGAACCATAGTTGTAGCCGTCGCATTTTGAGCCTCGCAAAGACTAGAACCGCCGTTGTCGCGGCCATGAGACCGAGCAGTCTCTGAAACTGGAAGGCCGTGGTTGCAGGTTGTGTACAAAGCAGGGTGGCTAAGGAGATGATGTCCGTGGCCCTGTCTGGAGGCAGGTAGGCCATGCAAGCATTTGAATCCTGTATGGCCCCTATATATTGGATCCGCTGGACGGGACAAAGATGAGACTTTTGGTGATTGACTTTCAAGCCCAGGTTGTTTAGTAGGGACAGAGTATCCGCGACATTGGAGGTCAGGACGTGTTCGGAAGAAGCGACTAGGAGCCAGTTGTCTATGTAGGGGTAGATGGAAACCCCTCTGAGCCGTAGAAATGCTGCAATCATGATAATCGTCTTCGTGAACA